CTTGCCACACTGCCCTCTCCTCCCTGCCTCAAGGGGTCCTCCTCTGGTGCTCCCCCTTCCACATTGGTTTTCCTGCTTCATCCTTGGTGGGCCACGTTCCTTCCCTGGAGCTGCCACAATTTCCATCTTGATTTTATCATTGAGGAAGCAGAGGCACACAGAGGGAGGTAGCTGGGCCAGGAAGTGTCTGGTTCCCAACACACAGCATCACACTCCACAGTGCCCTCCAACCAGATTGCTCTCCAACCCCAAGCAAACATCTTTACCTCCCTGTGCCCTTCATTCCCCGGTCTGTTCCCACTTAACTTACCCTCTTAACTGGATCCATTAGCGTTTAAGTCAAGGCCTGAACTAAGACACTCATCAGGGTGTTAAGGATCAGGGCCTTTGACAATAAATTAGGCCTTAAAGTTTTCCCTGGATATGTCAGGTGGGTGTGGCCACAGCCCCTGCAGTTCCACAATACATGGATTGTGGCCAAAGGGCCCCTGGGAGCACCAGAAGGCATGGGAGATGGAGGGAAGGCAGGGGACCCTTGGGAGGCCCTTTAATGTGTGTGGGTGGAGAAGTGAGGCTGGACCCAAGCCAAGCCTCTTACTCCCCTCAGCTCCTCTTTGTTGCTTCCAGTGTCCTCAAAATGAAGTCCAAACCCAAGCCCCACACAAGACAGCCTCGCCTGCCCCTGATGAGGCATACACAGCTTATCCCATATCAACATGACCCAAGCATTTAACAAAAATGAACTTAAGCCTTATAAAGTTCTTATAAGGCAAGTACTTGTATAATCCTCACTATACAGATGAGGAAACTGAGGCACCGAGAGATGAGAGGGTCCAGTGTCAGGATTTGAACCCAGGACACATGGCTCTAGCGTATGTGCCCAAACTGCTCCATTGTGTAGCCTCAGTTCTCCTTCTGGTATTGTTTCTGTTCCCCAAATGCACCTCCCTCTACCAGTCACTCGACAGTGCCCTCGTTCATGTCTTTGTGTGATTGATGTCTCTTCTGCCGAGAAGGCTCATCCCTCATCTTGGCAAGTTCTGTTTATCCTTAGATCCCAAATTAAGTGTCACCTCCCCTGTGAAGCTGCTTTTGCTCTGCCCTGCCCCAGCTGAACTGGCAGCCACTGTGTTCACAAAGCACCTGGCACCAATGTCCATGCAGACAGCCATGCCCATACAGACAGCCCTGGATGGCCTCTTCATGAGATCAGCTTTGGACCCCTCCTCATGGAACACGTGTCACAGGTAGGCACAGTGCTAGGTGATAGCAGGGCGGAGCTGGGGGCTCCTGACTGTCCCACCTCTGGGTTCCTGATGTCTGGTATAAGACTTGGTCCAGCTCAGGAAACAGCAAGTAGGGCCTGAGATGTACAGCCCTTGTGCAGAGAGAAATCAAATCCCTGTCCTTTAAAAGCTCATCATCAAATGGGAAAACCGACCTTCAATGGCTCAGATGCAAGGGGATCGGAGTTCCAAGAGAGGGACAAGACCCTTCAGTGTCACAGGTTCCACAGGAGGATACCGTGCTACCCACTAGGAGAACAGGGAGGGCTTCTCAGAGGAGCAGATCGTGGGTGGGGCCTGGAGGGATGAAGAAAGTCCCACTGGCTGCACGAGGCACAAGCAGGCAGGGGAAAGTGGGGAAGGACTCCAGGCTGGCAGAGCCAGGACAGAGAAGTGAGAGGGCACCACGTCCTGTGAGGGCTGATGAGCTTACTCTAGCCTAATAATCCTGTCAAAGAGACAGCTACGGGGTGGGGGGGGCACATTACCACCTAGCGCTGGGCCTACCCCTCATGCATGCACCACGTGGTTGGGCTGGAAACAGATCTTGTGGAAAGACCTTTCTGAATTGCTTCAGTGGCCTATTAAGAAAAATAATGCAAAATTACTAGTAAATGCAGGCCTGAGAGAGAGAGCTGGGCTGTGTGAGGAGAGAAGGGCTGCTCTTCACAGAGGGCTTGACGCACAGGCTGCAGCCCGGCTGTGAGCTGCCTCTGGTGTGAGGCATGGAGAGGGCAGAGGTTCTTGGGAGCAGTGGGGCACAGGCAGAAAAGGCTACTGTTTCCTATTAGCCTCCAGGCTCATGGATCCTGAGCGCCTGCGCCCTCCTAGACAAGCCACCCTGATTCTGGAGCTGTTCTGCTGGGTGGGCCTCCCTGGCCACAGAAAGGCCAGATTCCACCAATTCCGAAGACTCCCTCTTCTCTGAAGGTTATCCAGAGGGAAAGTGTGGGCGTTTGAGACCCGTATACTGGTCACCTCTTGGTAACCCCTGGGCAGGCCTCAGGGGTCATAGAGGGTCCGCTCTGAAAAGCTCCTTTTCATTCTGGCTCTGTTCATCTGGCACGGCTGAGGCAACAGGGGCATCCAGACAGCTTTTCTCTGAGAATCTCATTCATTCACTTCCCAATGCTGAGATCTCTTGAGGGCTGTCAGACACCGGGCTGGGAGGCCGGTGGATGGGGTCACACTTCTACTGAGGTGCTCCTATCCCAGTGGCAGGAAATAGACATGAACATACATAATTACAGAACCTTCAAGCCAAGGGAGCCAGAACAAACGCAAACTACCTGGAGGAGTTCAGGAAGGCTTCTCAGAGGAGGTGACTCTGACGTGAGAGATGGAACATTCCATAATTATTTACTAAGCACCTGCTATGCACTGGACTCCATGCTAGTCTCTGAGGATGCCACAGCAAAGAGGACAGGTGACCATCTGGCCTCCAGTTTCTTCCCTTCAACCCAGCAGGGAAGCAGAAATTAAAAAGTCAGGGCCCCATACTAGGGAACCAGCAGGAGCAACCACATTGGAGGAAGTCCATGGAGATGTTCGTTGATGGAGCTGAGAGAAGTGAGTGTGCGGAGGGTGGAAGAGGTGAGGAGATGAGGCTGGAATGCCAGGCTAGGGATTCAAAGCTTGATCATACCAGCAACTTGAAGCTAGAGAAGGTTCTAAGCAAGAGCTGAAGGAAGAAGGTTTCTTAGCACCATTACCAACTTTGACACATAAGGCAAAATTGCCTCCTACCAGACCTCAGGCCCCAGTGACTAGTCTGAGCTTCCTGGGGCCAACCTCCCAGTCCCTGGGCCTGACAAAGGGCCCCTTACTCCACCTCTAGCCTGGACTTCAGCCTCCAGCCCACGCTCTTCCTTGTTCTTCCAACCAAGGTCTTGGCTGGTGTACTGTACAGAGGGGACTAGGCAGCCTCTGGCTAGGCCTTGGCAGACACCATCTCTTCTTCAGGCAGACCCTACAACATAAGCTTCTTGGGAGGTTAGAAGTATTTCCATGCTATCTGCTTTCCTATCAAACTCATCCTTCCCATATCAATGCCTGGTTTAAGATTTTCCCAGGGCTCCCCTCTGACAAACAGGGAATCCCAACACATGGATCTTGAAGGCTTGAACCTCAGCATCATCCTGCAGGGCTCAGGATCATAAGGAAAATCCCAGGAGTTTGTGGCTCTCAGAAGGAAGTCTGAACCCCCTTGTCTGTACCCCTCTGCCTCTCCACATTCCTCTCCCCATGGATTCTACTGCCCTCTCACTGGCAGCTCCAGCCATTCTTTACTTTTCTGGGCTCTTTAACAAAGTTCTCCTTCACCTGCCTAGAGCTATGTGGGTTCCTGACTAATCCCTTCTGGCCTCAGCCTGCCCATCCCTCCCTCAGGGAACCCTCTGCTAACCAGAATAGTCCAGGGGTCCCCAGAGGTGTTCTTTCAGACTCCACACCTTTGCACAAGCTGTTTACCCTGGTGGGAATCCCTTCTCTCCATCCTCTAAAGCCTGCTCTCTCACTTGTATCCCTGCCAAGTCTCAGCATCTTAATTCTTTAAAAGAACCAGAGGTTCAGAAAGATAAAGTAATCTTTCAAAACCACACAGCTTTGCCCTGGAATGTGGTACTGACTGGTGGTTAGAATCCTGTGCCAGTTGTGGGATCTGGGGAGCATCACTTGGACTCCGTACTTGAGTCCTTAGCAGTGAAATGGGGTTCTTACTGGTTCTCACTTGGTGTGAAGCTTAAAAGAAGCTGTACTGTGCCACCTCCATTCCTCCACTTCCTGGGCCAATTAATGGCTTTCACATCGCCCGGTGCACATTCAACATTCATTCATACAGCAAACCCCTCCAACGCGTGCTCTGTGCCGGGCCCTGCGCAGGGCGTGGGGGAACTCAGAGGCATTAGACACAGCTCCTGCATCCAAGGCGCTGGAATGGGGAGGTGCGTGAGCAGACGACAGACACATCACGACTCGGGGAGTGTTGTCCTCACACACCTCTGCTTTTGACTTCATATTTTTAAAACTAACAACGACGTTCCTCCCGGCGATGAACGCTGGGAAAGGGGAAGTGTGGAAGAGAGATCCGCTCTTCATTTTCAAAAACTTATTTTTCACCGCTTCTTCAAATCTGAACATTCCACAGCACTTAACTCTTCTGTGCGCACTGAGCCCTAAAAGCTAGGGATGGGCAAGAGGAGGGCAGGGTCGCCTCACCCCCAGGTTCGTGGTGACCTGGTGGCCATCCTGGCCACCGGTATCCCACCTGGCCGCCATCCTGCCTCTCCTCTGCTTTACCTACCCACCGGTGTTCCTTCCCCATGACACCCCCGGCCTCCCACTGCAGACTTCATGCACCGGTCCCAGACAATTCAGACCACCTCGCCTCTCCTTCCATCCGGGCCCCCAGGTTACCCCCCTTTCCAGCTTGGCTCTTTAAGAACCCCCAACCCATCCATTGTCCTCTCTGCAGCCGCACCTCTCCATTGTCTGCCCCGCCTTCTCGGAGGTAGAGTCCACGTTCCGCAGAGCTCCGCCCTTTACCCCTTCTCTGATTGGCTCCGGCTCACGACGGTGCTGGGGCCCAAAGAGGAAAGCAGGCGCGCGCCCAGCCCCGGCCCGGGCTTGTGAAAGGCGGGGCCTCGGTTGGCTCCGCCCTATAAGGGCGGGGCCGCGCTCGCGGGTACTCGGGCGCTGGGCGGTGCTGCCTCAGCTGGGCTCGGCTCGGCTCGGCACGACTCGGGCTGCAGCTCCGGTGGGGGTGGGTGGCCAGGATGACAGCGGCAGTGGCAGCGGCAGTGGCTGCGGCGCGGGGCTAAGCGAGCGGCGAGCGAGCAGGAGAAGACGAGGAAGTGGAGCCGCTGCCAGGAGCTCAGGAGTCCGCCGTCGCGCTGAGGTCCGCCCCGTTTTGCAGAGAGAGCTGCGCCCGGACCTCGGAAGACTTCCCTGCGGGGCTCCGGCCGCCGCGTCTCCCAAGTGGCGCCTGCCCTGCCCTGCCCTGCCCGACCCAGCCCCGGGTTCCGCGCCCGGACTCTCCCAGCCCCAAGGTCCGAAACGGACTCACGGGACGCCCAAGTCTCGGCCCTGAACCGGAGCGCCGGGACGGGACAGCTCAGGCTCCACATTCGCGTCCATCGTTGCGGGGTCATTCCCAGTCTTTCTCTCAGTGTGTGTCGGAGCCCCCAGCCTTTCTCCCAGGGGTTAGCGCAAGGTGGCCCCAGCCTCCGACTGCAGTGCAAAGGAGTCCGGACGTCCCCACCCTCCGGCTCCGGAGAACCAAACCTTCAGCTGCTTCTGATAGCTGCCTCAGACTTGGAACCGTACGAGCTCTCGGGAAGCCTGGCCAGGGTGCAGCGCCCCGCGAGGGGTCCCAGGTCGGCAGGACAGTCGGACTGAACCACTGGGCTCGTTCTGCGAGTCGAAGCTGCCGCCTTCCTTCCGCTCCAAGCGCTTGCCCCGAGAGGAACACAGACCCCCCTCTGCCGTGGCTGCCGGCGAGAGCCTAGGCTGCAGGTGAGAGAGCCCCGGATGCGCGGCGGGAGCGGTCCAGACCCTTCGCGGCTGGGCTAGAGACTGAGGGCGTGGAGGGGGCACTGGCAGAGGCTGGAACTAGCTGGGAGAAGGAGCGAGAAGGGAGAAAACGAGCACTTATTTAGCTCCCATTGTGTGCAGGTTCGCGCCCCGCCCTTGCACAAATGGTCTCTTACTTAAGGCGCACTGCTACCTCGTGAGATAGAAAGTACTATGTATTGTTATGGGTGCTGACAGATGGAGAAACTGAGGCCAGACAGAGCTGAGGTTCCCTACTCTCATTAAGCTGGGGATGAAGGAGAGGGTAAAAAAAGAAGAGCAAAGAGGGGCTGGGATGTGGCTCCGTGGTAGAGTGCTTGCCTAGCATGCATGGGGCACTGGGTTCAATCCTCAGCACCACATAAAAATAAAATAAAAATATTGCGTTCACCTAAATTAAAAAAATAAAAAATAAAAAATAAAAGCAGAGCAAAGTCGGAGAAGAAAGGAAGTGAATAGCGGCCTGTGGGAGGTGGAGGGGCCCAGTGCAGGGCCACTGATCTTGAGGCTAAGAAGGTGGCTTCTCCTGGCCTCCAACTCCTTGGACATCTCACCTCCCAGAGTTGAAGGCAAAGGTGGGGGGCTTCCCAGTTTCAAAGCTTTCTGTGGGGCCTAGGGTAGAGAAACGGCTCCTTACCCCTACCTGCCAGATTCTGGGGTCTCCAAGACACGCTGAATTTCCTGGGATTCTGCTTATCTGATGGCAAACTCACTGTGGAGGTCCCCAAGTCAGTCCTGCAGAAACTGGAGGAGATGTGGCCCCTCAGCACTCACCCAGCTCATGTCCTTCACCCTACTAATGGGGACTGCTGAGGAGGTGCTTAGGATCATTCCCCAGATCATAAAGTCAGAGTGGTTGACCCAGAAGTTCCACTTGAGAAAGCTTTCCCAAGCGTCCCTCAAAGTGTCCACTCCCCTCCTCAGTTTGCAACTTCTGGAGGCGTGGCTGGGGTTTTCTCCACTCCTGATTTGAGGTCAGTGTGACCATGTTTGAGGCTGCTGTGAGAGTCTCTGTGGTGGTGCAGGGGCCTGAGACATGCCGGAAACCCCACAGCCTTTGGCCCAGATGGAAAACCTGACCTCATTCTCCTTTGGGCAGGGGAACTCGTAGGACACCTCTGACCCAGGAAGAGAGGGCTTGTTTAAGATCTTAAGGATGAAGCTACCAGGGCTGTGGGCATAGTCCCAGGTGTCTTGAGTCCCAGGCAGGGGCTCCTGCTGTCCTTGGGGGCCAGGTGGATACAGGACAGAAGCCCTTGGCATGGACTCTTGGGCTCTTGTTCTAGGTGAGGAAGAAGAGGGCATATGGCCTTGGTCTGGACCCGTAGCCTTGGCTGGGACTACTTAACCCCTGTTGTACCCAGCTCCCTGGAGTCAAGGGAGAAACCACCTTGGAAAGCCCCCGGGAGGTGGAACAGGTTAGTGAAGACTAGAAGCTCGTCTCTGGGGTTAGAGGGACTAGGGGAACCCAAAAGGTGACTAAGGGGCTTGGGATTCCCCCTACTCCCTCCTCTGTCTGAGGATTCAAGTCCTCATAATAATCCCTGCATCTAAACAAAGCTCTTCTTTGATGGAATAATTTCACACCTGTGATCTCATTTCATGGGGTGGTGGAGAAAGCCTGGAATCTGGAGTGAGGCACAGCAGGGTTGGGGCATCTTCTGGTGCCTCACCTCTAAAGTGGGGTCAAGCAGGCTGTGTGTTACCTGTGATAAGGCAATCACATCAGAAAACTGTCGATAAGGAGTTTGTTGTGTTTGCCAAGAAGGGGCTTGTTATTAATGGCTACCTTGTGTGGAAACTGAGGCTCAAAGAGGTAAAACCACTAACCTAGGGCCTTTGAGTTTGTTTCAGGAGTTATTTGAGCACCAGCTATCTATCCAGTGATCTGGAAGTTACCCAGGTGGGCTAAATGGCAGCCTAAACTGGTGAGAGCAGACAGTGGTAAGTCAGACCAGGCAGGTGAACTACTGTGTCTCACACTCACTGGGCAAATCTCTTCATGCCCTGAGCCCCAGCTGCTTCTCTGTAAAAGTAGAACATCTCCTTACCAGGTCATTGTGAGGACTGAATGAGATACCAATATTCAATGCCTGACCAAATATCTATTTCCTTCCCTATGAAGAAAAGGAAGCTTGAATTTTGACCAGGAAGTCTGGGATAATTCTCAGACTTGCAATAGATTACAACTCAGGCTATTGTTGAAGCCGCAGAGTCCTGAATTTGCTCAGCTCGGGCTTCCTATATAGGTTAGATTGCCCTCGGCCATCTTCCATAGTCTCATAGCTTCTGGAATCTGCTTGGGGATACTGGCAAGGGGCTCTGGGCTCTGATGATACCTTCCCATGGGGAACGGGGAGCTGGTGTCCATTCCTTGGCCCATTGTCTGGCCTCCCTAGGCACAAAGTGCAGTGAATAATTTATAGCTCCCACCCCTGGGAGGCAGGCTCAGGGAAATAGCTTTGTGTTCAGCTGAGCTTCTGAACCCCACCAGAAGAGGCAAGAGGCTCCTATTTATGCTGTTAGTCTTGGATATGACTGTATTAGAGTGGGGGATGGAATAGATAGAACAGCAGAGTGACCTATTATCAATCCGATTCTCCTGTTGGAGGGCCAGATGGATCCACAGGCAATAGTGAGAGCCAAGCTAGCAGATCTAGGATCCAACTGTGGGCCTCTTATTCCAAAGAGATATGGGGGGGGGCATTAAGGGTGAGAGTACGGGGGAGAGGTTGACAAGGGAGAGGGGAGGTCCTAGGGACTAGAGTAATGGGCAGGCTTCTTTGAGGTCATAGATGGTTGGGCTGGAGCTAGAGGTAACTTACTGCATCAATTGGGGGTCCCATCATCAAGGTTGAATCCTGACTCTGCCACCTACTCACTGTCAGATTGTGGGCAAGACACCTGGCCCTGCCAGGCTGTTTCCCTCTCTTGAAATGGAGGGTTGTTATAGGTGACCATGGGGTCACCTGCATAGAACCCAGGGCATGAAATATACTCAATAAACTGATGCTTCACTGTCCATGTGGACCACGGGGCAGGCCTGTAATAAAAGAGATGGGATGGGATGGCAGGCAGAGAGGTGGGGAGAACCCGGGGTAGTGATGCTGGGTTTGTGGGGATAGCGAAGGGCAAAGCAAGGGGCGAATGATCAGCTGGGAGGGGCCCTGGAGTGTTAGAACCCCTCTGGGCTCCCTGTGCTTCCTTTGTAAGGTGAAGACCAGGCTTCCAGTTGTGGCATTCAAGTCCTTGCCCATGGGAACCACTGCATGGACCTGGGCCTCATTGCTCACCAGTGTCTCCTGCATTCACCACCTGTGCCCCCATTGCTGCCTCTTTGCTTGTGGGGTGCCTCCCATCAGAACCACCAGCTCTGCCTCTTCTTCACTTATGTCCCCATCTGTCCAGGTCCAACTTGGGTCATAAATTCCCCTAGAAACATTCCTAGATTGTCCAACCCTGTGGGTACACCCCTCTGAATTTTAGCACTTCACAGAAATACATAATACCTACCATCCATGGCATTTGACAGTTTATAAAATGGATCAGCACATTTAATAATACTATGGTGATGATATTAACAATAGCTAATATTGAATAATTATTATAAACCAGACAATGTGCTAAGACTTTATGGACACTCTCATTCACACTAATGCTGGAGGTAGCTACTGTTGTGCCCCAGAATCTGAGCCTCAGAGAGGTACATTTTCTTACCCAAGGTCACACAGCTTGACAGGAAGTAGGGAGTCAGGGCTGCAACTGTTTGAATTAGAAATCCGTGCTTCTGTCACTGAACAGCCAGCTTTTAGATGTCCTGTCTCCTCAACTCCATTCAGTACCTCGAAAGCATTCTTTGCATGTGAAGAACCCGAGCCTTCTTCCAAGGCTAAGGAAGGGCAGTGTGAGACTGAGCGTGGGGCCCAGGAAGGAACCTTTGGCCTGGGCTCTGCAGCAGCTGGCTGTGTGACCTGCGGTGACTCAGCCCCTCCGTGCGGTTCTCTTTGCCCACATGTATGGTGAACTGGCGGTATCCAAGGGCCTTACCTCTCTAGATTTCTGCAGTGTCCTCTGTGATCCTGGCAGAAGGAGGAGGAGACCACAGCACAGGGTAGAGGATGTGGTGTGACAAGCAGCTGTGATTTTTGGCCTGGCTGCTGTCTGGGCCAGAAGGAACTGTGGTCACCCAAAAGAGGGTGGTGTCCTAGGCTGCAGGCAGCATGGTCATTAGCTGTGATTGGGAGCTGGCTGGGCCAGGCCAGGTTGGCAGGACTGGGGGCAGGCTGGCCTGGCTGCAGTGGGGTCATTGGCAGGGCAGCTGGCTTCTCCTCCCTCTGCCGCCTCCAGGGCAGAGCGAGCATACCCTGGGCACCAGAGCTTTGTGGGCCACAGCTGCCCTTTCTCCTGTTGTGGTGGCCAGCAAGAGCAGCGAGATCCTCCAGGCCTGAGGCTGCCTCCTCCGAGAAGGCCCCAGAACTCCTTTCTAGCTGGTGGACGCCACCCCTCTGCTCACTGCCTGTGGTCTGCATGGATTTGCCATCCTTGCCAGCCACCTCGTCCCCCAAGTGCCTGGCAGTGTGCCTGGCACAGTTGGCCACCCCCAGGTCAGGGAGGCCATGCAAGCTGCCCTGGGACCAGTTGTTTAACTTTGCACCTGTTTTCTTACCTGTAAAATGGAGTTGATAATAACAGTGTTGAGGTTTAATGAGGTGAAGGGAGAGGGGGTACTCATTGAGGCCTGGTACCTAGGCAGGCATTTGATCAGTGTTCCCTTTGCCCATCCCATTGGTGGCCTTGTGAACAAGTGACTCAGTGAGAAACTGACTAAAGAGTCCAGTGAGAGCAGTCAGGAGAGAGGGTGTGGCAGGTGGCAGGGAGGACTTCCCTTCAGAGGGCTACTGAGGGTCAGTTGGGACTTGCAGAGATGCTGTTCCCAGTGACTTCCCAGTGAGCAGTGCAGGAGCAGGCAGCTTTCAGCCTGGGAGGGACCCCAAGCCTGGTCAAGGGCAGGGAGCAAAACAGGATGTCCAGTGACCTGGGTTTTCTTCTTAGGCCTTAGAAACAGAAATGACCCAGTTGGAAGGAGCAGCCAGGGATCTAGCCAGCTAGCAGTGCTGAGCAGAGTGAGTCCTTCCCTACTGGGAGGCAGCCTTCTTTTGACCATCCCCCCTACACACACATCCAACCCCAGTGTGACATGGTTGGAGAGTCTGTAGACAGGCAAACACAAAGACACAACACTTCCAAACTGTGGAGAGTGCTGAGCTCCTGAGGCAGGGGCCGGCCCACGGGTAATATCCTTGATGGTAAAGGGTAGGGCTCAGTTGACTTGGGCAAGTGATTAAACCTCTCTAGGCCTTAGTTACCACATCTGAAAAATGGGGCTTAATCTCAGAATCTACTTCACAGGGTTGTTGTGAAGTAGGTTAAATGGACTGTGCACGTAAAGCACAAAAAAGAGCCCAGCACATAATAAACACTCAGGGCAGGCTGGCCCTTATTATCTGTCCCCAGCACCTAGCGAGGAGCTGAGAGAACAGGTGCTCAGGAAGGCATTGGAATGAATCCCAGACCAAGGGCAGCTACTCTGTGGAATGAATGAATGAACAGCCCAGTAGGAAAGGAGGACAGAAGCAATGACAACACAGAATGTGACAAGGCAGGCCAAGATCTGGGTTGCCCAGAGCTGTGTGGGAGGGAGCCAGGATGGGCTTCACAGAGGTGGTGCTCGCTCCCAAAGCCCTGTGACGTCTATACCCTGAGCAGTATCCAAGGGGACCGCGGTTCCTCTCCAAGGGCAAGCGGGTGGCTGGGGCCAACCCCAGGAAGCTGGGCTGCATAGGCTCTCTGTCCCCACCACCCACGCTGCCACCCTGCCCCTGACATTCAGCTCTGAGGGCGTGGGGAAGGCCAAAAGGCACCTGCGGAAGAAGCGTGGGCCGCGGGCCTGAGACACCAAGCTCTTCCCGGGCTGGGAACCAAACTGTCCACAGAAAAGAAGCCACACGCCCGCGCTGAGTTCTTTTATCTGCATCTTGCTCCCAAGGCACACCAGCAAGCTAAGGGGTCTCCCGACATCCATCCTGCAGCTGTTTAGCTTTTAAACAAGTGGACTCTTAGAAAACAACCCCAGGAGAATTCATCTCACCCTCCCACCCAGGAGGCTCAAAGAGAAAGTTCTGTCCCACTGACAAGGGATCCAGGACCCCCCAAGTATCTTAAAAGAGCGTCCCCCAGAGGCCAGCCCTAAGGTCAGAGCTCCCCACCCTGCCTTTGTTGTGGCTGAGGGTGGACCTGGAGGACACCCTTGTATTTTGCCTGAATCCTGGCTCTCTGTAAAATGGGGTCAGGAAAATAAGTCCCTTCTTACCTAAAAAAGGTGTAAGGTGGGGGGTGTCTTCTTCAAGCCTCAGTGTCC